GTCTGTGTTCGTTGTCGGCTCGTCTGCGTTCATCTGTGTTTCTTGGTATCCTGTTCCTTAGTCTGCGTCTCTCTGCTCCGTTATGATTTCAGGTTTGCTCTTTAGTTTTTCCCAGTTTAGGTTTCCATTAGACAGAGCGACTGCTGTCAAACAATCTTTTCTATGCTGCGAAGAGAAACTACTAGATATCATGACCTCTAACAAGAAATTAAAAGGCTTTGTCATCTTCTAAACATTGTATAGAACCTTGCTCTTGCTACACTACGTAGGTTAGTGTATGTATATATTTGAGTCTGTAGGGATACTTTAGACCAGGGATGTTAAATTTATTTTACAATGAGGCCCACATACAGCCCACTTTAAACTTAAGTGGCCACATGAATGAAACTCCCTTTCTGTCAGTGTAAAAAACATTTAACTACACATCAATCCCTGAAATATCTTATATCTAAAATGCGGTTTCAACAACATATCACAGCATTCCTACATGATAAATACACAAAAATGCAGAAAATGTTCTGGCAGCTCACTGTGCAGACTGTCCCAGATTTATAAAACAAAGTTTTTCTTTTTTTTTCTGCTTATTTTTATTAAATTCACACATCTGATTACTGGCTAAAGAAAGTGTTTGTGGAAAATTCAGTCTCAGGAATTTGGTCATGTATATGCTGTTCTGTTATTTTGTATTTGTGTGTATATGCTATATATTTTATATTACACTGTATATTTATACAGGAAAACTTTGCTGTCTTGTTTTTGTTGCTCGTGTTAGTTCTGCAGTCAGTGAGAGGAAAGCTGAGTTAGGACACATGAGCCTGTGGGTGGGGTGGAGCAAATTTCAGTATTTAATAGCTGAAGTCAAATTAAAACAGGTATACTTAACCATGGCTCTCCAACAGTTTGTCTACTGTGTCTCTGTGATGACAATTCTCTTATGTAAAGGTGAGAAAGTCTGATTTTTATTTGGAGTACACATTTTCTTGTTACCAAGCTCTTACAAACTACTGTAAATTATTTTTAAAACTCTATCTGGAAACTGTGAAATGACTGGAGGTCAAGTAGAAGTACAGATACTTGTGTTAAAAATGTACTTAGAGTAGAAAGTAGAAAGTAGCTCATTGGAAGACAATTCTACTCATTGTTTGAGGCACAGGTAACTGAACCTTCTGCTATATTAATATAATAGAAAAAATATGAGTACATTAGAACATACATGTTATTCAAATCTAACTTAAAATTCTAATGAATGCACTCAGCTTGAATCGGACACAAGCAGTCAAAGAGGATAAAATAAATAAATAAATAACTATTTTCTGTTGCATGCATGTTTAGAGTCACTTTGCCTCCACCACCTGGACAACGTGTAAAACAGGGGTTAAAGTGGGATTCAGCAAGCAGGGAACACTAAGATCTGTTAGGAAAAATACTAACAACTCCCTTTTTAGAGCTCCACTAGGCTTTCTTAGCACGCAAGCTGTGATCAGCTCACCTGCTGCTCTTTGTTGATTTATAGAACTGAATTAAAAAAATGTGGCATTTTCACAGTGATTGTGGCTGGTTTCCATTTCCTACGCTAGCAGTGCACTGTATGTTGTCTTTAAACTAGACTGTATAAAGTTATTATAATGATTGAATTCACTGAATGACTATAAGGGTCATCAAATTTAAAGTAATCTCTGCTTCACTTGATGTGATCCAACACTGACCACTAAAGCCACAGTTCAACACAGAGTTGGGAATTCCCCATATTAATGCAAACTAACCTGTTTATCCTGGAAAGAAGTACCCAGAATTTTCATACAACATTTGAAAAGCACAAAATTTGTATATTTAGTTTGTTTTAAAGAATGTTTCATAAAATTAAAATATGTAATTCATCAAACACATCATATACAGATCCAATACTTGATTAAAACTTATGACTTTATATACGATCTTTAAATAGTTCTTTACTAACTGTCACTGTAACTGAGCTACATGCTAGGTGAAGATGGAGTTACATTTAATTTTTTAATGTAATCAAAAGGAAATCAGTGAGTAGACTGTTGTGACCCACACTGCATTACTTGAAACTGATTAGTATACAGTTATTTGCTAATGTTCAGGGTTTTTTACTTGCTATTTAATTAGCAAGCCAGTAAAAATGATTTGTAATTCTTTACATTCAGATTTTTGACATAGTCAGCATCCCTACAAATGTTTGTTTAGCCATTTTGTAAGTTTGAAGAAAAAATCTTATACATGGGACTAGGCCCTGGTTGAACTCACACTTTTCCTTTCTCTAACACACATGTTGAGAAATGTGAATCATAATGTGCAATAAACTCATTTGACCTGTTTATCTCTATGATCCACTTTCAGGTGGTCAATCACAGACACCCGGTAAGCATCCAAGAACAACTTTGCAAATGCTTCAAGTTCAAACAATTGACACGTGTATGTTACTTAACAAGCTAGCAAAAGAAGTACCATGGACCATTTTCTACTCTATTGCTAACAACATCAACAACAAAACTGTATATTACAACAATATCCAACTATAGAGCACCAAAGAGGAAGATCAAGCAACAGTCTGAGGACATTTGAAAACCTACAAAGCAGCCAAAGTAGCTACTATGTTGTAGGAACTTATAGGATTACACATTACCATGTTAAGCATTTTGTAAGACGTTTTGACCTCTAAGATTATTTTTACTACATGATTTCACAGCAAAATTAAGAAAACATTAAACATACTGTATGTTTTATTCACAATGTGTGTTCTCTGTATTTTATTTTCAGGTGTGTCCATCAGGTTAGCTGGGTCTGGAGCAACACAGTGTTCTGGCAGAGTTGAAATTTATTACAATAACATCTGGGGAACAGTCTACGGTAATGGCTGGGACTTAAACGAGGCTGAGGTTGTTTGCAGACAGTTAAACTGTGGAACAGCAATACAGGCTCCTCTATCATCTTACTATAGTCCAGAAGCTAAACAAATTTGGCTTTATAATGTGGCCTGTTCGGGAAGTGAAAGTTCTTTAACTCAGTGTCGTTACTCTGGATGGGGAATGTACAATAATAATTATTATTATGATGCTGGTGTCATCTGTTCAGGTAAGAAAATATTTTAACACAGCATAGGTCACTCTGTCATAAAGGATTTATATTTTGTCAGGAAAGTATTAAAATATTTTTCATTTCAGATCTGATCAGATTAACTGGATCTGGATCGACTCGATGTTCTGGCAGAGTTGAAGTTTACCACAATAACAGCTGGGGAACAGTCTGTGATGATGGCTGGGATGTAAATGATGCTGCAGTGGTTTGCAGACAGTTAAACTGTGGGTCGGCACTGGAAGTTCCTCAATCAGCTCACTTTGGTGCAGGAACTGGACAGATTTGGCTTGATAATGTGGGCTGTTCAGGAAATGAAAGTTCTCTAATTGAATGTAACGGCAGTGGATTTGGGACATACAGTTGTGGAAATCACCATGATGCTGATGTCATCTGTTCAGGTGAGAAAATTTTTGGTACCAATGACATTTCAGGTCAGTCTGCTATTGTGTCATACATAAAATATTTTGTTTATGTCTTTTGCATCATAGATCTGATCAGATTATCTGGGTCTGGATCGACTCGATGCTCTGGAAGAGTTGAAATTTATTACAATAACATCTGGGGAACAGTCTGTGATGATTACTGGGACTTAAAAGACGCTCAGGTTGTTTGCAGACAGATAAACTGTGGGACGGCACTAGAGGCTCCTCGATCAGCTCTCTTTGGTGCAGGAAGTGGACAGATTTGGCTTGATAACATGGACTGTTCAGGAAATGAAAGTTCTCTAATTGAATGTAAATACAACCAATTTGGAACAAATAACTGTGGACATCAACAAGACGCTGGTGTCATCTGTTCAGGTGAGGCACATTTTGAATACTGAACACATTGCACGTCAGTCTGTTCTTATTTGTTATGCTTGAATTGTTTTTATTGCAAATAACATTAAAATATTGTCCATATCTTTTGTCTCATAGGTCCAATCAGATTAGTTGGATCTGGATCGACTCGATGCTCTGGAAGAGTTGAAATCTATCACAATAACAGCTGGGGAACAGTCTGCGATGATGGCTGGGACTTAAATGATGCTGAGGTGGTTTGCAGACAGTTAAACTGTGGGTCGGCACTAGAAGCTCCTCATTCAGCTTACTATGGTGCAGGAACTGGACAGATTTGGCTTGATCATGTGACCTGTTCAGGAGGTGAAAGTTCTCTTACTGAGTGTCAGCACAGTGGATTTGGAACAAACAACTGTGGACATGGTCAGGATGCTGCTGTCATCTGTTCAGGTGAGAAAATGTTTAGGTACCAAAGACACATGAATCATTCAGAAATTGTCTGTCATCAGTGAAACCATTTTCTTTCAAGGTCAAGAACATATTATCAAGTTCTTCACATCTTTTAACTAATAGATCTGATCAGATTAGCTGGCTCTGGATCGACTCGATGTTCTGGCAGGGTTGAAGTTTATCACAATAACAGCTTTGGAACAGTCTGTGATGATGACTGGGACTTAAACGATGCTGAGATCGTTTGTAGACAGTTAAACTGTGGGACCGCAAGGGGGGCTCCTCGATCAGCTCACTTTGGTGCAGGAACTGGACAGATTTGGCTTGATCGTGTGACCTGCTCAGGAAGTGAAGGCTCATTAACTCAGTGTCAACATGGTGGTTTTGGAACAAACAACTGTGTACATAATCAAGATGCTGGTGTCGTCTGTTCTGGTGAGAAAGATTTTTGATTCTGAAAGCATTTCAACCAAATCTTTTCTTGGGTGCAATATACTATCGGTAAAAGTTTTAGAACACCCCAATTTCTCCAGTTTTTTTAATAATGATTTTATTTATGCAGTGTAATGTGTCATTGAACTCTGAAATTAAAGCATAGTAAAAATAAGTAATTAAAATTAAAATTAAACCATGGACTAAATTTACAGACCAAAATGTATTCTAATCTTTTGACACATCGAAGTAAGCACCTTTGGTACATATAACAGCTTAACACACCATTCTATCTGCAGTAGAAATCAAATATTCTTCAGAAAATTCTTCCCATATTTGTTGCAGAAGTTCCCATAAATGCATGATTGCTTTGCTTTCACTCTTTTATCCAGTTCATCCTAAACCACCGTGATGGGGCTAATTAAGACTGGAGACTGTGCTGTCCGTTCCATGTTTTCTAGCTTACGGTTTTGTTCTCTTTTTCCTGAGGTAGTTCTGGCATAGCTTGGACTTAGTTTTGGGTCATTATATTGCCATAGGATGAACCTCTTACCAATTAGACACATACCAGAGGGAACTGCATGGTGCTGCAGAATGCTGCAGTTGTAAAGGTTCTGGGTCCTTTTGAGCCAGCATTTTTTATTTTGTTGTATTCTAATAATATTTTGTATTATGGTTTATGTTAAGGTTCATTTATTATTTATTAGTTATTGTATTGTGAGTTTCTTTTATTCCCTGTTTATATTCTTAATTATTAGTTGCCCTCTATGTCTCTATCCGTCTGTTTTTATATGTTATATGAGCCCCTTGCGTCTTGTTTCCCTTCCTGTGTTCCATTCTGTTTCCAGGGCTCGTCATCTCTCCTCTCTCTCCCTCATGTTCCCTTGCTCTTCTCGTCTGCCTCTCCTCCACTCCTGCATCATGTTCCTGCGTTTCCTGTTTTATTGCGAAGCTCTTGTGTTTCCATGTTCGGTGTTTCTAGTTGTGCTTCCTCTGTGACGTCATGTTGTGTCAGCTGTGTTCCCTGTGTGTTCTCACTGCACTCGTTATCCTCCTGTGTATTTATGTCAGCATCTCCCTCATAGCTGTGTGCCTCCCTGTGTGTTTAGGTCTTCTAATTTCCCAGTTTGGGTTGTATTATTTTCCATTCAGCAACTAAAGCTGTGTTTTGAGTCCATATCCCGCTTACGAGTCTGCATTTGGGTCCCTTCCTGCCTGCTCCGCACAGTCAAATTGTGACAGAGGAAGCCATTTTGGTTCAGAGTGCATCTCACTTTTCTTTACAAGTCACTGACACTGGATCCAGCTAAACAGCCCCAGACCATCACACTTCCTCGTCAATGTTTGACAGTTGTTACCACACAGCGTGGAACCATCCTTTCACCTACTTACAACATACAAAGATCCCGTGTGATGAAGTGAAGATTTCAAATTGTGATTCTGTCAATAATACCTTCTTCCACTCTTCAGTAGTCCATTGGTGGCGTTTCATGACCTAGGCAAACCTCTTTGAGTTGCAGGTTTGACAAGATGAGTTAAAGCAAGAAAACCATTGCCAAGATATCAGAACAAGGCAAAGTCTTCTTTTCACAGTTGAAACTAAGACTTGCTTACTATGACCACTAATAATAATAATAATAATAATAATAATAGTAATAATAATAATAATACATTTTATTTATAGGCCCCTTTAAGACTCTCAAGGTCACCTTACAAAAGTACAGAAATATAGCAACAATACAATATAAGAAAACATGGCAAAATACAAATGTAAGCATAAGGTAAATAAGAAATAAAAGCATGAAATTCAAGTGGAAAAATTGGGGTGTTTTAAAACGTTCAACTGGTATATACTACTATAATTTTTCTTTGTTAATTTAAGACACATTAAAAATTTGCTTCACATCTTTTGCCTGATAGATCTGATCAGATTAGTTGGATCTGGATCGACTCGATGTTCTGGAAGAGTTGAAATATTTCACAATAACAGCTGGGGAACAGTCTGTGATGATAGCTGGGACTTGAACGATGCTCACGTGGTTTGCAGAGAGTTAAACTGTGGGACGGCACTAGGAGCTCCTCCATTCGCTCAGTTTGGTGCAGGAACTGGACAGATTTGGCTTGATAATGTGACCTGTTCAGGAAATGAAGAATCTTTAGCTCAGTGTCAACACAATGGATTTGGATCAAACAAATGTGGACATGATCACGATGCTGGTGCCATCTGCTCAGGTGAGAATTTTTTTTTTTCCGATCATCTATACCATGTCAGACACTGTAAATACAACAGTTTCCCTTTACAGATTTTTTGTCCATTCGTTGATGTGTTTCATACTGAAATTAAGCGTTAGCCATCAAATTAAGCTGCACAGTAAACATTCAATGAAGGATTTCAATGGTAAAATCTTTATCTGCAAACGGGGAAACTTTATTTCATGATTAATATTTCGTATTTTGGGTGTTATATAGTTGTCATAAACTCAGATTTGGAAGTCTTATGCCTTTCTGAGTCAGGATGAAATTCTATTTTTGGTTGGTTGATGTTTATTAAGTTATTTTTGTAGTTAACACAATTCTTGTGTCAAGAGTGTTGGTTTGCTTCAAAATTCCTAAATATATGGCTCAATGGATTCTAATATATAAGAAGCCTCAACACAGTTGCAGTTGAAGAGACCAAAGAGGAAGATGAACAGGAACCAACCATACAATGGGGAAGCAGATTCAGGCTTAGTCACTCAACATTAACAAAACTGAACTAACAGAAATCAATCAGAAAATGAGACTGACAGTAACTTCCAACTTGACTAATTGTCATCTCTGGCGATGATGATATCAAAAGGCTCGGCTGTTGTTAGGGCTATACAAATGTTAGAAAAAACAAACAAGCAAAGACACACACACACACACAAGGCCAATGACAACTAGAAACTAACAAACAAAACCTATACTGGGAAAGCTAAACAGGAAACATAACTATAAAACCTGAGACCTGGAAACACGGGAAAGACCAATCAAGGCGCAGACGATCCAACATGAAACAAAAAGGGAAGCACAGACTATAATTAAAATTATTTTTATATAGATATATCTCTATACACACTACACTACACCACACACATAAAGCAGAAAAGAATACACTGATGCAGGGCAGGGGACTGTCAAAGTAAAACACGAAATAACACAAATATTGAACCGGGGACACTAGACACAACACCAGGAACACAAGGCAGGCACAGAAAACACTTAAACGCTGGAAATAATTAACAAACAACAAGGATAGCTAACTAAAATCACTGTATATTAATAAACAAGCTATGACACTAAAATTTAATATGTAAGGGAGAAAGCCAGAAATCTGACCCCCAGAAATCTTCTCCAACTTTAAATGCCTGCCTGTGAGCTTTCTTGTCCTCTATTGGCACTATTGGCATGCTGTATCTCACTTTGACAGATTTGTGGTCTAGTTTATATTAGAGATGGCACGATACCACTTTTTTATGGTCGATACCGATATCATAAATTTGGATATCTGCCGATACTGATATGAATCCGATATCCTGTCTCTTTTTTAATCAATAAAACTGTTTTTTAATATCTTGCTGCATTTTGTATAAGTTCATACTCAAGTTTAAAACAACAACTACACTAAAGCTATTCTGTTATACCTGTATGCAAAAAAATATTTCATAGTTCAGCAATACTGATCAATCTAATAAACTTAAACCTACACCATCCT